TCTTTTAATTCTATTTTTCCACAGACTTTTTTTAAAGTATCCTGGTATATATTTGGAGGGCATTAGGGAACTTAAATATTTTAAAAATTGCCACCCCAGCTTTCTTTTGGTTCATATTTGCCTGTCTATTCCTTCTTTTGAAACCTTTTTGAATCATTGTGTATTATGTGTCTCTTGTAAATACCACACTGCTGGATTTTGTTTTCTTCCCATTCTGAGAATCTTCTCTGGCATTTTAATTCCAGGTGGTTAAGGATGAACTTTCTTTAGTTTTCTTTTTAGTTATTTCTTCTTAGTTAATCTCCAAGTATTTCTTCTCTTCTGTTTTTACTCATCTGTATAATGGATTCCCATTATATAGCTGTTATCACTTCTCCTGTTTTTAATTGTATCTCTTATTGCTCTATCTTTTCACCCCTTCCCTATGCCTTCTGAGATTTCTTGTTCTACCCAGTTTTCCAGCTTATTGATTCCTTCTCTGTCTGTATCTATTATGCTTTCAATCCATCCTCTGAGTTCTTTATTTCAGACTATTGTACTTTTGATTCCCACTATCACATATTGATTCTTTTTCATAGCTGCATTTTCATACTTAAAATTCCCCTTTGAAGATATTATTATGCTTAAATTACATTCTTGTTCAGTCTGTTCTATTTTCTTTGGATGAGGTTGTTCTGTTTGTTGTTTTTCTGTTCCTATGTTTACACACCTTGTGGTCAGCTGCCTTGGCTAGTAATTTTAATCTAGGTGGAGGGGGTAAAAGCCTAGGTTCTGACTTGTGCTCCTCCCCATTAATTTAAGAACTATTGTGTAAAACCCCTAGTGTTCTAGCCTTGCCTTGAGCAATTTCCCCATTGTGTCCTACTTCAAAAAGTGTACAAAAAAAAGAACCACCCACCCCATGCTTGTGTTTGCACACATGTACACACCCACACATACTTACTAATACTATTATCTTAGGCAATCACTAGTTATTACAAATTGCCTTGCTGTTTGTGTGGGTTGGAGATAGGGTGGGGTTGGGTAGGACCACTCAGAGACCTGAGCTGGTTGCTACTAAGTCTCCACCCACTTGTCTCATGATGTTCAGATGCCAGACCCTTATTCATTGAATACATACTCTGATTCAGGCATTGTATTGGATGCTGGAATATAAAAATTAAAAGATGCAATGCATGTCCTCAAGTTTTCATTTGAGTGGTGTCAGTGGGAAAGTAAATAGGCATTTATAATAAAGTGTGATAAATTCTGTGATGGGACATGCCCAGAGTGTTATGGGAACACATGAGAAGAATTCATTACTCCATTTGTGGAGAAGGGAGGTTTCTCCACTTGAGGTATGTTTAAGTCCTGATGGATGTTTTTTTGTTAGCTAAATGAGAGGATTAGAAGAGCCTGGGAGAAAAACATGTAGGTGAATGAAACCAGGTTAGTAGTGTGTCATGGCTGTTGCTGTCACTATACATGTGATGTAGCTTTGGCAAGATAACAGAGGGAATAGGTAAACTGGAGAGTGGTAGGATATTGTAGATTTTAAGAAGGAAATTGACACGATCAAACTTACATTTTAGAAAGATTTTGCTGTATTATGGAGAATGAACTGATACAGGGCAAGGCAGGAGCCATTGAGAGTCATTAAGAGACTGTTGCAGTAATTTAGATGAGAAAAGATGATGGCTTGAAATAAGGTAGAGGCTGTGGAGATAGAAAGAAGTAATTACAACTAAATGATAATTAAGTATGTTGGATAGCCAAGACCTGGTGGTTGATTGCATTTGGTTACATTTGGTAGTGAAAGAAAAGTAGTATATGAAGAATGGTGGGTAGTTTTCTCTTAGGCATACCGTTCAAAACATATGTCTTCTAAAAATCTTTTAACGGGTCGGCCCGGTGGCGCACTGGATAGTGCGCCGCTTGGGAAGCGCGGCGGCGCTCCCGTCCGAGGGTTCGGATCCCACATACAGACCGGCTCCCGCTCACTGGCTGAGCGAGGCGCGGGAGCAACACCGAGGCTTGCGATCCCGTTGCCGGTCCCCGGTCCGGTACGGGGGCAACACTGAGGGTTGCGATCCGGTGCCGGACATGGAAAAAAAGACAAAAAATAAAAAAATAAAAAAATAAAAAAAATAAAAAATAAAAATAAAAATCTTTTAACATAGAGAATCACTTGAAAACAGCAAAACAATAGCCTGCTTTTTCTTTTTCTTTTAAAGAACGGTTTCTTTTCTTCCATTCTAAAATGCAAACAGCTCAGAAAACCGGGTGATTTTCTCTAAGTTTGTGGCAAACTCAGTTGACAGCAAAACCAACCCTGAAATGAAGCTATTTATAGTCTTTGTTTATCCCAATTTGTGTGGGCATTCATATGTTTGCTCAGAATTATTAGTGTGTCTGATGATGAGATATTGCTCCAGACTCCACTGGCAGTGTTGTATGACGTACAGTATGTGTACCTTACCACCCTTCTAAAATCCAGAATATTCTGATGAAATGTCTAGCTCCAATGGTTTCAGATAATGAATTATGGGCTTGCACTTTGAATCTGAGCATTTTTGTTGTTTTTATATAGCAATATTATTTTCTAATAAGAACCATTTGTGACAATGTAGCTGTGGGGAAAGTGGAGTAGATGTGTATTATGTAGCACAAACTACAAGATATAGATTGCCAAGTGAAGGTACAAAACAGTATGTATAGTATGTTTCTGTTTGGGATTTAAAAAAACACAACCGGGACACACCCACCCACACAAGTGTATACAATACCTTTAGGGGCCGACCCCGTGGCTCACTCGGGTGAGTGTGGCGCTGGGTGCCTCGCGGCCGCGGGTTCAGATCCTATATAAGAATGGCCGGGGCGCTCACTGGCTGAGCGCGGTGCAGATGACACCGTGCCGAGGGTTGCGATCCCCTTACTGGCCACACACACACAAAAAAGAATACCTTTAGAAGGGTAAGCAAAGAGCTAGTATCAGTAATTGAGAACTGGGAATCAGTGATGAGAGGAAGACAATTTTATTATACATGTGTGTGCACACGCATGCACATGTGTATGTTTGCAGACACACATATTGCACTTCAGATGTTTCACTATATGTTTTATTCTTTTTTTGTTCAGATTTTAAGTTACACGAATAACGATATGATAATGTCCTTGTGAGAACTTGATGCATTTGACTTTCAACTCCAATAAATGCATTAATTTTGTAAAGTTTAAAATAATTATTTATATAGATAGTAACTTTCTCTCACACCTTGTGGTGATTTATTCCTGTTATTTGTCATTAGGACTGCAATGACATTAGAGATTAGAGAATGAAATTAGAGAATGAGCTTCAGAAACTCTTAAATTTCTAAATGTTGAATATGTAATTTTGCTAAGATTGCTAGAAGCAAAAGTAGAGAAAAGAATGGCTGAAGATGAGTACTAATCAGTAGAAGTGGAATTTATTCATAGTATGCCAAACTGGGCAGTGAGAGCAAAGGTTGGTAGCCACAAGTATAGTTTTCAAGTAGTAGAGTCAAAGGGAATAAAGATAGGGAAATTTGGAAAGATAGCATAGGAAAACAAAGGAAACAGAAGTAAATATATTTTTGGCAGAGAAAACATAGGAGACAGAAATAGAAAAGATATAAAGTTGGGCCGGCCCGGTGGCGCACTACTACAGTGCGCCACTTGGGAGCGCGGTGCTCCCGCCGAGGGTTCGGATCCTACATACAGACCGGTTCCCGCTCACTGGCTGAGCGAGGTGCGGGCGCAGCACCGAGGGTTGCGATCCCGTTGCCAGTCCCGGTCCGGTACGGGCGCGACACTGAGGGTTGCGATCCGTTGCCGGACACAAAAAAAAGACAAAAATAAATAAATAAATAAATAAAAATAAAGTTGGGGACCCCTCAGAGAAACAAAGAGGTGCAGTGAGAAGCTTTATGAATATAATAATGTTTGTTGTTGGAGGTTTCATAATTACTTTCTGCAATGTGATAGAATTACAATTTCATGTTTAAAAAGGATAAAGCTTGGTAGTTATGATGGAACTAAAATATTGCTTGACCAGAGTGAGAAAAGTCAAAGTCTGTTTGTTACCAATAAATTAATATAGATTGAAATCAGAAAAAAATCAACTATTTGGCATACTTTACTAAATATATTTAAGTTATCTTTGCTACTTGTACAAATACTTGTATTTTTAGTTCCATCAGCAGTCTCTTTTTCAATGAAAGCAAGAAATTAAATACTTGAAATATGTCAATAATATTTGATGTTTGTGTTTTCTTTGGTAATATTTTGTTTTTTAAACACAAGAATTTGTTTTGGGGGGGGCGGGCAGCTGGCTGGTACAGGGATACAAACCTCAACCTTTGTGTTATAACACTGCACTCTGACCAACTGAGCTAATAGTCCAGCCTCCTGCTTTCTAATATTACAGCAATCTTATATCTTGATTTGTAGTCTGCACTAAGTTAATAAAATTATTGTAAGGAAAAAATTGTCAAGATTTAGTTATTTAGCTATGTACCTTTTACATAAAACTGCAACCATTGGTGGATGGATATTTGATAAAGCACATATAGTAGTAAAATGTCAGTTGTAGAATCAAGGTGGTAGAGATATAGAATGTGTAAGTTTGAACATTTTTATAATAAATGTTGGATATAAACATAACCTCTAATGAAAAAGCTAATGTGAAATAAACATATTTTTTGTGAATAGTAAAATAATAATATAATTTGACTTTTTGTTCTCTATTGACTTTGAAAAATCTGAAACATTTTTTCTGTTAGTGGAATAGCAACTTTAGAGGTAATGCTATTTAATATAAAGAAATTGTCTGTTCTCTTTTGGTGGAAATTGTTCTGTCCTTAAAAACATTGTAATTATGAACATAGGTAAAGATAGATGAAAAAATTGTATAAGGCTTTATAAAACATTTTGGAGGTAAATATAAAATAGAGCAGACAAGGGTTTAGCAACTATTTAGAACTTTTATTCTTCTATTTTAGGGAATCTGGAAACATCAAAGTTGGATTAGAACATCTGGTAAGTTCTAATTTTCTCTTGAACATTTGCATCATCTTTGATATCTGCATTCTAAATGAAGACTTTTGAATGAGCTTTGAATACCTTGTATTGAGAAAGTCAACCATTTCCCAAAGGGTCAGCTTACTGTTATTATGTGAAGGCACTTACATTTTCATTTATCTTATCATTTCAAGGGAATTTAAAATTTTTTTAAATTACTTTTTTTTTTTTTTTTGATGTAGAGATGAAATAAAGTGGATGACAATCCTTGGATTGATGATTGCTTTAATTATAAACAAAAATTGTTTGGTGTAGAATTTTTGGCATATCTTGATCTGACAAAAACAAGCTTGTGTTTTAAGAAAAACACAATCAAATATTGCATGCATAAATATGGTATGTTTTAGCAATTTAACGGCTTTGAAAGAAGCGCATAGCTTTGTTTTTCCTGATGTCTTTGCTTTATGAATAATGCATTGGTTTAAACTACATTCAATTTTAGAAAATAAGATAATTAAGATGCAAAATTTTTTGTTTAAACGTTTTAAAAGTACAAGTGAAATTCGAACTGATTTAGCATTAAAATTTGTCCATCGATCAAAAAATTGAAAAAAATCATAGTATTATAACAGGCGTGAAATTCATTGAGCTCCACTGTATTGAGTGTTCATTACAACATTAAGTAGTTCATTTAAACTGAGCATTGTAAAGTCATGCTCTGGTTTCTGGTCAAATCCTAATGTTGAATAATTAATGGTAGGGATTCTTTTGTAAATACAGTCTAAGTAGTCTTTTAATGCAAGACTTCATTCGTATATTATACTGTAGCTTTGTTAACTATTGATGTGCTTTTGTTCCGCTTCTGCAAAAGCAAACAGTAGCAAGAGGCAGCTGCATTTTGGCTTCCAGCCATTTTAGAGTTGGAAGGAATTTTTGGTTTTCATCTTACTAGCTAAAGGAAAATGAGGAAACCTAGATTTTAAAAAGTGATTCTAAAAATTACAGATTAATTATATAAAAGCAGATATAATTAGAAAATCTGAACTATGTATTTGTCAGGATTCGAAGTAAGTATTTCCCAACCCCCTGTTTATCATTTCATAATGGCATAAGGTATTTAGGACATAGGTATATCAGAATAAAAATGTTAATCTGAAGCATCACATTCCGGTATCAATTGAGGACTTATAATAAGGAAGAACAGCTACCATAGTGCCAAAATGAGCTCTTTTATAATTCTCTTGTAAATGATTATGTATTAAAAAGACTTTATATTTCTTTGTTTATGTTCCTCAGTAAATAATAATGTTTTGGGGTTTTTTTAGTTTAAATTTCATAATTTTTATACTTGTCAGGTCTCATTTTCAGTGACTATTTTACATATTTATACTGTACTTACAATCTTAACACAGCAGTGTTTTCCTAAGTGTGCCTTGGGCTGCGAAGGAAGCTGCCCAAAGCAGGTGGTACTCCAGACTTCCCTGCCTACTTTAACTAAAGTAGTTCCACTTTTAGTTATTTTGTATAGTAAGCTTTTGAACTTTTTAATAAGATTTCATTTGAATAAAGAGTTCTCCAGCTAAAAATACTTAAAAACCTTTGATAAGGCATAGTCACTTATTGAGGTCAAGAATAATCATGTATTAATTATTCCTCTTTATTCTTGACCCTAAGTTATGTTTCATTTTTATCTAGGTCATAATACATCAAATATATTTCAAAGATAACCATTTCAGGGATGAGAGAGCGAGGATTAGCATACAGTTACATAGTTGGAAGCAGATGATTTTAATGGGTCTTATCTAAGTTGTTTGATTTTGTAACTTGACATTGTAATTGACCCACTAACTGAACTACTACCAATTTATTCATCCATCTGTCTATGTATGTCTATTGGTCGGTCTATCTTGCTTTGTGCATTAATAATACTCAGTAAAGTCACTGATATTCTTCATAACCTGTGTAAGAAAGTTCACATCTAAGAAGGAGGTGAACTCACAATTTATGGATTGAACATTAATGAAACTTGTTTTGTCTGGCACCTGTGAGCTCCTTAGGTTTGTTTCTTCTCCTCTTTACTGCTGAGCAGATAATTTAGAGCCCATGCCTTCTAGCACATGTAGCCTTTCTTTGAATTGGCTGTATAGCCAAATACTATTAGAAGTATAGCTTCTAAATAGATTGATTTTTTAAAATATATGATAGAAAATTAAAATGAGAAGATCATCTCACACATTTGAAATTAATCTCTTCTTTATGTAGCCTTCTTCAAACTTGGTCTTTCCAAATTATTTATTTAGGTTATCATAGAGCATTAGCATTGTTCTAAGAGAGGGTAAAAGCCAATATAAATTTAAGTAAGTTAAGAAAAAGGACATATGTAACTTGTTATACTTGTCACTTGGAAGCATATATAGTTGCACTGTCTCTGTACTATATGTTTATGGGCTTTTCTTGGTACGTAGTTATATGTAACCTTGGAAAGGAGAAAGCAGGTGTGGTTGTATGGAGAAAAGAGTGGGTTAGGTGGACTGTTTTCCCTGGAATATTTTCAAGGGCTGATTTCCTTTACTTAGTCCTTGACAGTCTCTCAGGCCCTTGATTCAGCCATTGTTCTATCATTTCTTTCTTTCTATGTGGCCAGCTTTTCCTGGGGACTGTCCAGCATGTCATTCTTCTCACCTTAAATTTCTTATAGTATACTGCCAAATGCCATTTTATTTTTCTTTTCACGAACTTGTCCACTACCAGTAAAGCCTATATCTGTTTAAAGTTTTAGACAGAGCCTTTGAAGGTTGTTACTTCATTATTCACTGTTGATTGCAAAATGGAGATTTCCCAACTCTACCACTGCTTCCATATTATAGCCAGCATTCTACTGTAAGGAAGAGCCCATCCTTCTTATTTTATATGTCTGTTATGAGCAAGGATTTATTATTAATTATTATTTGTTATGACTCATGGATTTTTATTTTATTGAATAGGTTATTATCAATTACTGTCCTTATTTATTTTGATGCCTAAATTGTCCCATATTTGTCCATGGAGAATCCTTTCCCGATGGCTTCTGGGTTCTTCTGACGTACCTTCATCTTCTCTTTTTCCTTCCTTTCTCTCTCCCTCCCTCCCTTCAGACCTCCTTATTTTTTCTGTAACAAGATGTTCCAGGCTCATCTTAGACTTTTCCTGATCCACCCCTGGAATCAGCCACTTCTTCAAATTACTCTTTCATTTTAGAGGGAAAAGATATTTAGAAATCAAGATTTGCACATCTGATGTGCTCATCGTTTCTGGGATTTCATTACTTCTTTCAGTCCAAATTAGCTAGCTAGCCAGCTAATGCCTTAAATTCCAATACAAACCACAGAGTTCTTCCTTGTCATTCCCTATTTTATGTTTGTATTTCCCTTCATTCAAAGTGAGAACCCTGACTCCTAACAGCACCAATGCATATACGTATTTGCTCAGTCATATAATACACATAAAATAGTTTCAGAATTGCTACAAGCATACCTTATGGAAAAACAAACCTAAAAAGAGTTCAAAATTTATTTGCAGTTCTTTTCCCCCATTAAGTGTAGTTATGTTATTCATTTGAAATACAGGTCCATTCATTTATTTCTGTTTGCATTCAGTTTAGGTGCCCTTGTCCCCATTCTCGTTGATTTAATGATATGTTTGGACATGTAAAATGTTGACATGCTTCCAGAAGTCAAAACTATACACACTGGTATTCTCAGAGAGATGTCACTCACTTCCTTTCTAGCCTGCTCTCCTCTACTCCTTGTAGGTAACCAATTTTATTGACTTCTGGTTTATCCTTCCTGTGCTTTTTTTCATAAAATTAAGTGTGTGTGTGCATGCTCATGTGTATTCATACATGTGTATATATTTCTATTTTTTCTTCTTTGAAAGATAGCATATTAGTATTTACCTTCTATTTAACAGTATATTCTAGAAATCATTCCAGAATCGTTGTATGTATTATTACATTTATTGTGTTTCTTTCTCTATTTGGCTATCTTCTTTATTAAGACTCTGAGATTTTAGTCTACTTGCATGCCTGCCACACTTCATAGATGCTGGCAGAAAACACGATTTTTCTGGATCAGTGACAAAGCATTTTATTACTAACAGCACAATAGGTAGTGCATGATTTATGTTTGTGTAGGTTCCTTTTGACCCCTACGTCCCATAGAGTGATACTGCATACTCAGTGGGTTTATGTCATAGCTTGAGGAACTCCAAGTTTAGGGGTTTTTTTTAAGGGGCTGCTGGAAAACCTACCCAAACTTTGCCCAAGAGGAAAACATCTTTATTATCTTAGGTAACAAAACTACCTTTTGGTCCAAGGGGAGACTCTACCTTTAGCTTCCAAGACTGTTTGCTATACAAACATCTTTGAAAGGATAGTCCAGAACAAAAGCTGGTGGCAGGACATATAGAACAGCTATGGAGAATTGTCTTTTAAGAGCTATTTTTTTTTTTTAATTACAAAATTTAGGAAGATTTTTGTTTTTGTTCTAGTGGTTACTTTTATATTTATACCTTTATAGTGCTTTTAATCCTATTTAAGTTTTTAAATGGCATCCTTTGATTTCCACCTATTACCTTTTTTATATCCAATGCTCCTTTCTTACCTTTCTTCCTTTTTCTCCCATTTCTTCTAGTTGTATTCTTGCTACTTTTTTAGAACATCATTTGCATACGGTCCTCTACCCATGTTGTCACCTTATTTTAGAATGAGTTCTAAAATTAAATATATTAAATGTTTACTCTCAGTTTGCTGATATTTCCTCAGTTATCTCTTGTTTTGGTGAAACTGATCTTCATTATATTTCTCAGGAAAGGTGCCTGTGTACAATATTCCCTGAGATCTTACACATTACAAGCTGTTTTTCTATAGTCTTGCTACTTAAATGAAAACTTGTCTCGATATAAAATCCTTGTCTTGCATTTTCTATCCTTGACTTTCTTAAAAATATTATTCCACTAATGCCTTGTTTCATATATTGCTA